GTGCCCTGGTGGGAACCTAGAGAGAGGTTACCCTTGTCCATAAGAGGTAGAATTTGTCCACCTCTTTCCCATTGTCTATCAGTGGGCAATAAATGAGGTTTGGGAAGACTGAATCCCAAGCGGAGTAGTCATGTTCCAGGGCATTCCCACAAAACGTGGGGGCAAGAAGCAACAAGAATGGATTGGAAGAACAGATTTGAATTTCTTGAGGAGCATCCCAGAAATACCTGGGGTAAGAAATTTGAGGAAAAGCTATGCTTGTTTTGGTCTAGCCAGTTTGGGATTCAGATTATTGTGATTCTGCCCAACCTGGTAAAGCCAGGGACATTGAGTTGTCTACCTATTATGGTCCTTCATTAAGATGGACCAGCTTAAATGTATTTCCTTGTTGCTGAAGAAAGATCTGGGACTACTTCATTGGGAAATCAATGTAGACAACTTTGCCATTCAAATAGTGAGACATGAAGATGAAGACTATATAGGAAAAAGGATGGGGTTCCATTTTCTAAAAGTAGTCAGTGTACAAAAACGTACAGAATGGGAGCTTCCCCTCCCTCCCACTGACAGATTGTATAGCAGTGGAAAGATACAGAAGATCAGTCTTACTCTTCTGTTCAGTCAGTAATAAATGCAAAGTTAAACTAAGTTAACTAGAATATTATGCATAAAAAACAGAAATGACATTATGCTCTCGTTCTTTACTTGTGATTAATAGAAAATAAAATAATTTGGGATTAAGATTAGACCTGGATATTACTTCTCATTTCATATTAAAATGATGAGGAGTTTTCACAGAAGAAATATGATCCATTCCAAGAAGGTATTTTCCAGATGAACTTAATAATATAATGGGAAAGTCTTTACAGAAACTTTTGGTGTCATTGATAAAGTCGAATATGCATAGAATCTTACTCGTGGAAATATTTTAGGCCTTCGAGAGACTTGGCATTCCCTTTGAAGAGTTAAGACTGATTTGAGAAGTGACCATCATGGTGCAATTTTAGTGTTTTGCTGGGAAAATTTTAAATTGCGTGAAGAGAGAGGATTGCATCTAAATGTTATAATTTGTAAAAATGGATTATAAGAGAAAACACAGTATTATGGTGTTAGTGTTTCATTCTCTGTGTTCTGCCTGGTTAACTTTGGGGCAGATACCTGGTGAATCAGTGCCCGATAGGAGGCATTGTTTTGGGCAAGTCCATGTTGGTTGCAATACACAGATCATCTTCCATCTGCTTCTGCCACACAGTGGGACTTGACTGCTGCTGTGGGTCGGGATTATAACTGCCTCTAATTGCTATTCCCACCCATTGTAGAGAAGAAAGAAGTGTTTCTTCCTTTTTGACAAAAGCAGAACAGATGACAAATAATATGCCAAAAGAAAAACCTCATCCCTCTCAGTCCTAATACCAAATAGTCAAACCAGTTGCAAGGGGGTGAATTCAGAAATAAGAAATGACTTTTGGTAACCGAAGTTTGATTCTTCAACTTTCGGGCTAACATCGAATTCAGAGTGATGTCTAATGGAGAATATATTGCAGGGGAGAAGTAAAGATGGAAGTGAAGGAAACCACACTTACTGTTTACCAACTGCCTGCCAGGCCCAGTCAGGAATATCTCTACTGCCTCCAGTGACCCTATTAAATAGGTGAGACCACTCCATTTACAGACACGGGAACTGAGGCTTGGAGGCTTACAAAACTCGCCCCAAACTATTGTTGGCAAACAGAGGTTCAAGGAAAATTTGTGAATTGGAGGTCTTTTGGACAGTCTGTCAACAAGAGTAATGGTTTCTTAGCTTAAGCAAATTTTGTAGGAATGTAACTATTTGCAGAGGAATTTTAAAAACATCATCTCTGACAGCCATCCAGAGCTAGCATAAGAGACAAAGAAGTCTCAGTTTCATAATCACGGGGTTATAACTGACAACAATGAAATGTAAATATGTTCCTGGTTCATTAATTTGCTAATAATTGTTACTGTATTAATGACCCTCGTCCAAGCTCACCATTTGCTGAGACACAGTGACGTACGTAAATAGTGACAGACATTAAAAAATTCCATTGTTTTCCAGAGTGAATTCAAGATGAAGGAGAAGACTCTTTTGGAATTAAGTAAAGTATACAAAATAATATGAGGTGCATATTACAAGTGCCCTACAAGGGAATAAGAATTAAGTGTGGTTCTATTAAAAATAATGACACTGAATTTAAATTATTACAATTTCTGTTAAGAAAAAAAAAAGAAATGACTCAATGGGTCATACAGGAGCCACTGAAAAAAGTTCGTTTTCCTTAGTAAGGTGTAAAAACTGGGCATTGAAAGGATATTATCAACGGTCCTTTAAAACCTCAGTAAAAGGAGCAATAAATTTTTCTTGAAATATACAGTATGCAAAAATATGAAGTTAAAAGTTCTGGAGCCTCTGTTGATTTCTTTAAGGGGGGAAAAAAAACAGCCAAGGGAAATTCAAACTGCCTGGTCCTTGGGATTCTGACCACGTGCTAAGTGAAATTTCCAGGGACCAGGCGGTGTCTGCAGCACAGGCCGCAATGTTGTCAAATTCCAGGTATAGCCTTGGTGAGCCTGTGCATCAGAGGCTACAGGTTCCCAGTCTCGAGTAAAGTTCCTGAATATTCCTCTCTGTGGTGGTAAAGTCAGGGAAATAGGGCAGATTGATGAAAAGTCTAATTGCTGGAAATATTTCCCTCACCTTCTGCCTTCAGGTCATGTGTCCCTGCATTTTCCTTCTGAAATTCAATGTGAATTCCCAGACATGTATGGAGCACCTTGTCAGGTTTGGTAAAAAGCACTCGAGAAATAGGGTGTAGTCTCTGCTCCCAGGGATCTCAAATAGCCTGCAAGGGGGCAAGCAGCAGGCCTGCCTCTAGAAATTTGCAAACCCAAGGCAAAACCACAACCCATATGTCTGAATGTTTCAAATATATAAGTCAAACACATAACTTTTAAAGTAAATATGTTTTATTGTCCAGTCTTGAAAAAAAAAATCTTTCTAATGATCTGAGAGACCACGTTCACATTTACAAGTTTTAGCTTGCTTGGAGTTCTAAAAGAACATGGTGGCATTCAGTGAGTGGTACCTGGAGCCCCATCCCAGGGCTTCTTCCTGCCCCATAAGGGACCTTGTGCACCAGTGGACAATCTAGCCTGTGCTCACAAGCTCTGTCCACCGCTCTTCTCCATATACACACTTCAGCCAGCTGCTCCTTGACCTCCCTCAGGCATAAGGTCAAGTACTGGTGGTACATTCCATCCTCCTGAGAGAAGGATCTGAAGAAGAGGTTAGCACAGGCCTGGAAGTGGGTTCACAGGACTTTGGGGAGGATATTCCGGAGTCTTGGGTCTAGAAGGAGAGGCATAGCATACAGGTGAGAACAAACAGTGGACGCTCAAATGCCCTGCCTTGGGGAGGGGCATGGCCTGAGAAAGGCAGAGTTGGGCACTCCCAACATGGGACCCAGAACAGAGGCCGTACTTGCCGGGATCTGAGGATGGTATTGACAATCCAGGTGTTGAAACTGGGCTAATATAATATAGTTCCTCGCAAGAAGTATCAAAAGAACCCATTTCAGGTTCTGGATTGGTATTCTTCAACTATCGTGAAGAAAATGAAAAAGATTATTTTAGGCATTGCCTGTTGCTTATGTTCTTTAACAGAGCAAAAACCATGAAAAAGGCTTCACGTAAGTGGACCAACCTTCATACCTGACTTTATAGAGATTTGTAGCCACTGACTTATCTGTTAACTCAGTTTTTGATAACTAAGTGTAACAATCACAATCGTCATGTTATGTTTTCTTTAAACTGGAAATTTCAGAATTTCAATTCATGTTTTGAAACATCTTCATCTGTGAGCCATTCTACATTTTTTTCATAATAACTGGTGTGGAAATTTCTTCAAAGGTTTTCTTTCTGGATTTATTTCACTGTGCTTTCCCCTTTCTGTTTATCGTGACTGTTAATCATTTATTACTTCCTTCTTTACCTAGCCAAAGCTTTGATCATAGTCCTTATTTTGTCTTTCAGGTACATTTAGTCCCCAAATGACACAATCAGCTCTATTGCCCTCATTTTGAATTCTCTCTCCTTTCTCTGCATTTTTCTGAAAATTTAGTCTTAGTTCCCAACACTGACTTTTCTTGTCCCATTTCCAAACTGTATGGTATATCTTTTTCTGCAACATCACATTATAAATCAACCAAAGATTAACTTCACTTTATTTTTCCTTTTTCCAGATATAACTTTTTGTATTAATAGTATTTAAAGCTCTCTCCCTACAAATATATTCCTCTGTAACTTGGAACATGTTATTCAAAATTTTAAAAAGGTTCTTCCAAGTCATTTACTATTTTTCAATGCCGGCTCTATATCTATGCTTTCTAAAAATAAATCTTCTGCAAATTTCATTAATTCTTTGTTTGGCATATTCATGCTCCTTACTAAGTGCATTAAAGTGGAAAGGGGATCATGCGTTTTGCCAATGATTTTCAACACAACATTGGATAAGACCAGTATTGCTAATTATAATCTAGTCTTGTTAAATTTGAGCCTACCCAGTTCCTAAGTTACTCCCTGGTGTAGTGTATCATGAACTCAAGAAAGAGACATTACTGTTGTTCAACACTTAGTATATAGTTAGTATATGGGATTTGGGTCTTTATTTGGTTTGGAAAAGTAAATTCAGTGAAATAAGGCACAAAGTTCAGATTGAACGTTGGCCCTAAAGTAAAGTGGAGAGGAGGCAGCCCACGAAGTTTTAGCTAAATGTGGCTGCTGGCTACTCTCCGCCTTCCTTAGTGGGTGTCAGAGAAAGATTGCTGGACTGAGAGCTCAGTTCAAGGTTCACTTCTGACCCTTGGATTTGGACAAATTATCTAGCCTCTTCAGGCCTAAATATTGATGGTTTATAAAAATAGAACATAAGATTATCTTTAAGATCCCTTTCACTTTCCTAATCGATTTCTCAATTGTTTTACCAGGTCTGAAATTTTCCCCATTAGTTACTAATGAGTCACTGGTAGGCTGGACCACAAAGGTTGGAGTGTTATCTCTACACTTCCATAATCAAGATGCACAGAAGGCTTCCACAGAGGTGTGTACTTCCAGGTTAGTGACTTGAATCACTGGAAGCTGAGAGCAGCTATGAGAACCAGCAACTTGAGAGTGTTAAGTCAGGGATGATGGGCGAGAGGAGTGAAGAGGAGAGCATCAGAGGGAAAATGAGGAGCCGCCAAGGACATCTTGGCTAGGGACCTTTCGGATGAAAGTGATCTGCTAATCAACACGCTATGAGGTTGCTAAGTTAATGAGGACCAAGATAATCAATAGCCTCTGTAATAATGTTATACCTTTCTTACATCTCTCAATGTGATAGAGAATTGAATTAAAAAGTGCTAGATATACAGTAATTTTCTCTTAAATCTGCTTTGCTTAGTATAATAAAAGCTCTCTGTATCTAATTCAATACTGCCTAACTAAGATACCCAAAATGCTTTTGCGCACACTGTCCATCTACAGAAGACTGTATCCCTCATTAATGTCGAACTCCAACGCTAACTTCTTCAAGTCATCTCTCAAATGCCACCAGGCAGCGCTAACCTCCTTTTCCTCCACATGCTGACAGCACATGAGCACCATTTCTTTCAGAGTTTTCTTTCATTCCACTCCACATTAGTGGGAGCTGGTCGGATTATCTGTCTCTCTCCCTCCTTTCCCTCCCCTTGCCTGCAGCCTGTGTGAACACCTTGAGAAGGGCGGCAGTCCCTCCTTCTCCTTCCCAGTCTTTCCAATCAATGCTCTGCTCCCTTCCGGGGCCTTTCCATATGATTCTCTGGAGCCTGTAGGAAACCAAAACCCGAACATGAATTGTGTCTTTTCGTCTACATTCTTGCTCCTATTACAACCCACGTTCTCCTTCAGGCAATGTAAATAGCTCTGACTAATTAAAGAAAGGTTGGGAAGTGAGGGAAAGTGAGAAAGTACAAAGATGAATATTTCTCCCTCTTATGTTGCTACATTTCAGTGACAAACTTGGGCTCCTAGTCCCTTATTATAATTATTGTTTTTGTTTTTGGTTTTTTTTGTAGTTTCGGTGGGCAATATCTTAACCAGGGATCTGCATCAAAATCATGAAATAGATTTTTAAAATCTATCTACCTGGACCCAGTGCTGGTGATCCTGGTTCAGTAGATCAGGGCTAGTCCTGGTGTCTAAATAAAGAAGGCCCCCGTGGATCTGGGCACAGCACAACCTTAGTTGGGAACCTCTTCTCACTTAAAGCTCAGGGCTCTAGAGCCACAATCTTGACTGTGACCTTGGACAAGTTATTTAACTTCTCTGAAGATTTTATATATAACATTTTACATTCAAAATTTTAAAGTATATATATATAGCATTTTATATTTAAAAAAATTGTGCTAGATTTTTCATCTGTGATTAGAATGGATGGAAATACCAGTTTGTTTCAGAGAACATACTCCATTTTACGTTTAAAGTAAATATCTGAAAACAAGTGCTAAATTTTTTGCAGTTTTATTGAGATACAATTGACATACAGCTAGATTATATTTATAACCCAAATTTTGATTTGGTCTGATATATAGCACTACTAATCAGTTTGGGATTTAACAAAGTAATGTAGTTTGTTCAGGTTCGACTCCCGAAAACCACTGTTTTACACCTATCTACCTAGAATTGACCCCCCAGCACTGATGTATTTGGTGATCAGTTACTCTTTTTCCCTGGAAGATTGTTTGTAGGAGTTCTCATTCTGTAATATTTGTCCTTTGAAGGAATGTATACAGGTTGATGTCTATAAGATTGAAAATTTCTCTTTCTGAATTCGCTTCCATTTATTTTCCCAAATGTTTCACACTTCCCAAGAACACTCTTTTCAGTATGTGTGTATGGTGTGTGTAGCGAGAGATTTCTTCTGGAAATTGTGTTAATGGTCAATTTCTTGTTCCTGATTTGAACATTTTTTTTTTGTTTTTTGGTTTTTTTGGTGAGGAAGATTGGCCCTGAGCTAACATCTGTTGCCAGTCTTCCTCTTTTTGCTGAGGAAGATTGGCCATGAGCTAATATCTGTGGCCATCTTGCTCCATTTTGTATGTGGGGTGCTGCCACAGTGTGGCTTGATTAGCGGTACATAGGTCTGTGCCTGGGATCCGAACTTGTGAACCCTGGGCCACCGAAGTGGAGTGTGTGACCTTAACCACTAGTCCAGCGGGCTAGCCCCTGAACGTGTTATTTTTTAAAATTATTTTTCCATACGTTTATAAGCTTTCCTCCTCTGACCTAGAGTGTTCCCGCCTGATGTTATTTCTAAGCTCTTTCCATTCTTCAGGTTCTAATTTTTATAAAATCTTCCCTGATCCCTCCAGCCATGTCTTTCTTTCCTTTTGTCTGTGAGTTATTGTCTATACTGTGCACTGAACACTCACCATGTGCTGTGTCATATTTTAATATGTTGTTTTATTGTTTTAGGAGTGTATTTTGTCTCCTTAATTCTCTTAAGCCTCACACAAATAGAGTCTCTATGGAATATTTCTGGGCTTCCTCCTCAGTGCCAAGCAGTACCTTGCAAATAGCCTGTGCTATTATCCTCTGCAGAATGCAGATGGAGGAGTATTACTCTTAGATATAGTAAATAATTATGCCTGCTAATATTAAAGGAAATATAGCAGAGCATTATTTATTTAAGTAGAAACAAAGAAGTCCTTCCTACTGACTCTCTTGGCCTAACAACCTACTACCAGTGCAAAGTACCTCCCAAGCTTGGTCACTGGAAAAATCCGGGTATCTACCCTTGACATTAGGATTAACTTGGCTTATCTCAGTTATTTAGAAATAAGAGAACCAGCTTGCATATTCTTTCCTTTCCTGTAAAAAGATGACTTTCAAGTCTAGTTCCCTGCATGCTATTTCAATTGGAGTTCAAAAATATTTACTGGCCTTCCTAGATGCCAAACACCTAAAGGTTTGTTTTGTGCTAGTTCTGTCGCTACTCTCTCTATCCAAAGTTGAGGCTTCCCCGTGTGTTCCTAGAAGTGTATTTCTTATCTACTTCCTTTCCCAAGGCCTCTGGCAGCTTTACACAGTGCCTAGAGCTTCTCATGCAGTTCCTGATATTGTTCCATGTTCCTTTTCAGAAGGCAGGGGAAAGGAAGGGATCTGTCTGTTATTAACAGTCCATAGTAGCGGGGAGCGGGCACAATGACTCACTAACAAGTGAGAGTCTTTCTCACTGAAATGCCGTTCAGGCCTTATAAAGACAAAGACATTGCTCTCCTTGGCATTGTGATCTTAGCACCTATCATTTTGCATGCCACATAGTTGGCAACTGGTAAGTACTTGTGGAATAAACACAGGAGATCAGATGCTATCTCTTCCAAGAAGCCTTCCTTGGTCTACTGAGTAGGATTGATTGCTTCCTCCTCTGTGCCCCACTATGCCATGCACCCTCCTTCTGTTATTGAATTTATCTTCATGAGTGGCACTGGTTTGTATACTGTAGATTTGTCTTTCTCAGTGACTCCTTGAGAGCAAGGCCTGTCTTACAAATTTTAGTATCTCCAGTATCAAGTAAGCACAATGCTTAAAGAAACAGCTCTATGAAACTGCGGCATATCTTCTCTAAAGGTATCATTAGTAACATTATTCATTATATTTCACAGTATTTTTAGAAGATTTCTCCAGAAATTTCTCTCTGTAATTATAACCAGAATACAAGTGCTTCTCTTAGATGATATTTTTGTTTTCATTCTGTGAACACTATATTTTGCGTCTTTCCAGTTCTATTTGGAGCCATACATAGTAAGAACTCATGGCAACTGCTTTTGTATTAGCCTTACTCTTGGTTCTAATTTAGGTACCTACCATTAGTTTTCCTTTGGATTTTCCTACTTGTGACATATGCTACTTTATTGTATTTATCCATCATATAAACTTCCTTAAATCTTTCTTGTGGAATAAGATAGAGTAAATGTAAACATCTATAAAATAAGTGTAAATTAAATTTACTCATTCACTCAACAAAATTGAGCTAGGAACCATTGATAAATCAGAACTAAGTAGAATACACTGCCCTAAATTCCTTTGACTTGAAGAAGTTAAATCAATCCAACTTGGGATAGACTGAATATAAGAGTGAGGGCTTGGGAGGTGTCAAAGCTCATGCAACTGTTTGGATGGTGCCATTCTCTGAACTACAGAAGAGAGGAGGAAGGCCAGATTGGAGAAGGCACTGACAAAACAATTGTAATGTAAATAATAATTATTACAACTAACAGCCGTATAGTCTTGTGCGGTTCACAAAGCATTCTAACACAAATAATAGTTAAAATAATGAGCATTTGCATAGTGATCTAAAGTTTATAAAGATTATTTAATTTGTTTCTTATAAGCCTGTGAGGTCGCAAAAGCCAATATAACGTCATTCCCATTTTGCAGATGAGGAAGCCGAGTTTCAGAGGGGCTACAGGACTTAGAAGGAATTGTTGGGAGGACGTCTTATGTTTGGGAGTTCTGATTTGATGTCCGACAGTCTACCCCTCATTATTCTGCTTCATCTAGGATGGGAAGCACATAATAGCTAGAATGAGAAACACAGGGGTGATATAGCTCTCTAGCTTTGTGAAAGAAGAAAACAATTGCTAAGGTAACCATTATTACTTCCCCATTACTTTCAATTTTATTACCCAATGGCTGTTTCCTGTGACCTGCTTCCCACCGTGACCTGCAGCTCCAGCGACCTGGGTTTGTTGAGTGCAACTGTCCCTCAGCCTTCTGGGTCGGAGCTCCAGTCAGTAGAAGAATGACACACCTGAACATTTAACTGGGTCTTGAAGTCTAACAGCATCTTAAACAGAGGTATTAAAATGACATTTCTGACACAATTTGCCTGTTTTTGAATAAAGTATGAGCATGTGATATATATTAAATATTAGTTGGTTGATTACCATCTAGGTTTCATAGGGAATACTAGTTGATGACCAAGCCTTGGAAATATTGTCAGACTTCTGCTTAGAGATGTTTGTGCACACCGTGAGCAAATTAGAACTTTTAGCATGCGTGTGTTTGAATACCAAAGGATAACTTTCCAGTTTGATCTTGTGGACCCTTATAGTGGATAGCCAGAAAAGAAGAACTGAACTCAAGAGAAAGAGAGGGTTGGGTAGATGGGACATGATTATACCTTGAGTATATGGCCTATTCCTGGGAAGGACATTTCCTGATTTCTCTGTCTTATCCACATTGCTGGACCAAATGCTGCGTGTGAACCCTGAGAGGCCTAACTGGTCATTTATCAAAAACCCTCTGGACACACACCTTCTGATAGATGATCATAATTATTGCAAGATGGCACCACAATCAAAGTGTTGCTGCAATGCTTTCTATGGCCTCTGTCTAGTAAGATAGGTTTTGGACTCCAGATTTGAGAAATAGGTGATTAAGAAATATTTGCAAGCTAATTCTTGACTGTGAATCAAAACACCATGGAGGCATCAGATAAAATATGATGCAGACTTGGTTTTCAGACAGATTTTCGGGAAATCTGTGACCTCTACCAATCTTAAAAAAAATTACCATACATTTCTGAATGCTTGGGCCAGGCTCTCTTAGTCAGTTCTCTATTTTTCTTACCACCCAGAGACTGAAGCATTTGGCATACGTGGGATCCTAGTAGTTCAGAGCTGGAAGGGAAGCTCTCCCACCCTGGGTTTATCTGTAGGCTGGATAAAGGTTTGGGATTTAGCAATAGGCTTTGCTAGCTCAGCTTGTGAAAATCACATTCTTTATCAACTCCCCAGATGGTTTAGATCATTAAAAACACAACAAAACAAAACAAAAGCCCTTCAGAGTGTACACTGTGAAGATATTCTCTAATTTCCAAGAAAAATAAATATATGTCGAATTTCTCACAGATTTCTCACACTTTCTCAGTGTACAGCCTGAATTGCTGTGCTGAATGGAGAACTTAAAGCCATGGTTTTTGAGACAGCAAAGCCTTGTGCTGCATACTTAACTTCCAACTGCCCCTTTGCCTTTCCAGCTTGCCCATCAGCCCCCAGCTCTAAGTCAGTATTTATCTATTGGAGCTTAGCTTAAACTGAAAAGTGGATGTCTTTATTCAGTGAATTTGGGGCAACTGGCTCTCAATAAGCAACAAAAACAAAAAGGCTGTTTCAAGTCAAAGAGACCTCAAGAAACTATCCCACCATCTGCTGAGGAGAGAGAAACGGGCCTGTGGGCCAATAGCTCGGGAGTGAATAGAAGAAATAGTATTGTCGTCTAAATTTTCTGCAACACTCTTTGGATCAAAATATTATAATCGCAGCAAATAGATGCAGCAAATAGATGTGGCCACACTTAATGGATACTCAAAGGGCCAGTCCGCTGCTTGGCTTGGATCATTGACTGTCATTTGGAAGTAAAACTGGGGGGCTAAGGGGATTGGGTTGCAGGGAGAAAGGAAGACCTTCCGTTAAGCTGGCATGCACCAGTGGATAAATGGCTGGCATTTGCAGAGCTGCATTGCAGGGGCGCTTTTAGCAGTTTGCCACTGCCAGCTGATGTCTCTGTGAACATCAGTGCCAAGAAGCCAAAAATGAAAGCAGGTGCAGGGGCAGAGGAACTGAATGTTGGGGCGCGAGGGAGGGGGGTATTCAGCAACAGAACTTCTGTTGTTAAAAATTGGTTGCCTTCATTAAAACCTAAACAATGCTTCACTTTAACTCTGCATAACATTTTTAGCCCGCTGGAGTCCTGCGCACACACTTAAGGCAGCCTCTTACATTTATGCACCGGACTAAGAGACTCTGTGTTTTGTTTGTCTCTCGCCAAAGCTGCGGATTGTCTGCGAGAGTGCTGAACTCTGATTAGAGCACTTTCCTTCCGAAGCCAGGAGCATCTGCTTCTCAAAGTGCCCCTCTTCTCCCCTCCCTTCAGAGTGCCCCCTCTTCAGAAAGTCCCACTTCTGCACAACCAGGGCCTGGGAACAGAGAGGATTCCTGAACTCGGCATGTCTTCGCAGAGCCCTGTCACCAGATGAGCTCTCTGAAATGCTGCTTTCCGATGAGAAAACAGACGGGACTCACGGCCGCCTGCAATTTACATTTCCCTCAAAAGCGCTATGTTCCGGCAACATTGTTCCCCAAGCCCACCACAAGTGACAGCAGGAAAAAAACAATAGGGGTAAGCAAAAACAAATAAATAAATAAAGGTAAAGGTTCAGGGCCAACAGCAGAAAAGAACTAAGGCTTGTCCCAGGGCACACTCAAAATGGAGAATAAAACAGAAAGACGTCTGCCCCCTCTGCTGCCCTGTGGGCTGAGCTGTTCCCAGCATGGACTTCGTCAGCGATTGTCCTCCTACGCGGCAGAACGGGAAAGTCATCTTTCAAGGAGATAGGACAAAAAGACAGATCACATGCAGCCTTCTCACAACGGTGACAGAGAGCAAACCCTGACAAGAGGAAACTGCAGGCAATCTGTGCTTGGTTGAAAATACACTTTGTTTCTTTCTAATGGACATTAGTGCAACGAGGGAAATATAAAGTATGTTTGTTTTTACAGGCTTTTAGAAAAAATAGGAATAGCAAAGTTCATCGACAAGCCAGATGCTCTGCATGAAATAGAAAGAGCTCGGTCTATTAAAACTATGATGCCACCACTTTGGGGTCAAGAATTTGAACTATAATTTGAGATGAATAAGTATGGTAACACTTGGGGAATGGTGCTGGGAATTCGGTTTGTCCCATGACCTCACACTTGGGGAGAGTTTGGATTGCTTCTTCTACCGAGCGCTCGTGTCTTGTCCACAGTAGGTTTGTTATGAAAACCCAGAAGAAAGTTTAACAACTTAAACCAGAAACATAAGCGGGGTCACATGCCAAAAGAGTCAATGGATGAAAGGAGCTTAGTTCATAAAGCGAGTAGAGTCTGGGTTTTAGAAGGAATGAAATGTTGAGTTGAGACACCAAGAGACGGCAAAGCTAAGTCTGAGAGACGTGAAACGCTCCAATAGGAAAAAAAACAAAAAACAAAAAATTGGCCGAGGCTAGGAAGAGAGGAAAAGGCATTCCAAAAAAAGAAACAGATAGCTAATAACAGAAAACAAGCTTCAAGCACGGGACTAAAAAAAGCAACGTTTGAAAGAAAAAGCATGTTCAGCTACAAAATATGCAGATGAAAAAAATATATTCTCAATATTGTTGAGGATTTGAGTGAAATGAGCTTAGATCTTGATGGGAAATAGAAAAACACGTATATCAAAAACTTTAAACTTTTTCACTTATAGGAACTTATCTTGCTCAAATATTGAGAGATGTAGTATATTTATGTAAAAAGGAGTTCATTGTGGTAATGTTTAAATATTTAAAAAATAGGAAAGTGCTAATTATAAAAATATAAAGGATTGGCTAAGAAAATTATAGTATAAACATAAATCATGTTTTAGAAAAATATTTTCTGCCGTGGGAAACTTCTTGCTGTATGTTTGCTTAGTGGGGGGAAAAATGTTGTAAAATAGTATATACAGTATGATCTAAATTATGTGTGAAGCATCCACTCCAACATGTTAACAGTAGTTATGCTGAGTTCCAGGATTATAGGTGAAAATTGATATATTTTGAACTTTTTATTGAAGAGTGTTCTATATATAGAAAAGTGTGCAAAGAAGAAGGCAGCTTAATGAATTTTAAGAAACTGAAGACATCATGTACCCAGTACCCATGTCAAGAAACAGAACATAGTGATGGAACGTAGTCCCTGGAACATCCCTCCTGCCCCTTCGAGTTCTCTGCCTCTCCCAGAAGGGTAAACTCTATCCCCATCTGTAACACCATGAAGGAGTGCTGCCTCTTGTGTACTCTAAAGAAAGGAAGCGCGCAGTATGTGATCTTTTGTGCTGGCTTCTTTTATTCAACATTGAAAATACATTGTTCTAAGCCAGGAGGAACTAACAGGAACTTAAGACCATTCACGCAGAGCAGGTGGTTGTATCAGGGCTTCTTTTGACAACTCCGGGCCCCATTCCTGTCCACCTCTCCAGTGAGTGCTCTGAATCCAGTATTGACCTAAACCTCTTGAGCTCTCTCAGTTACAAATGTTCTTTCCTTTTCCGAACTCTTATACCATGTGTATCTTCCATTAGGAGATTAACCAGTACTTTATTAGTTACTGTTGCATCAAACTTTTAATCATCGCTTCCATGTTTAATTTGTCATGTCTTGTTCATGTTTAACTACCGGTCATTGGAGGCCTACCATGTGCCAGCTACATTATGCCTGTAAAATAATATTGTCCCCATTTTACAGAGAAGGTAAGTGATTTCCCCTAGGTCAGAAAACTAGAAGGTAACAGAACCCCAATATCTACCAAGGTCCTTGGACGCTGTATCAAATGGTCTTTCCAGTATACCCCATCCTCCCATTTGCTCTTATCTCCTCACTAGATTAGAAGATCCTGGAGAATTAAAAACATGTATTTACGTTTCTTTGGATTTCCCCTCCTAGCGCAGTGCTTGGCATGGAATAAATGTAGTAAGTGTTTGGTTACGGAGCATAAGTGTTATGACGTCTTATTTGACTTTTCCAGTACCACAGAACTCTTTATACATCTTTTTCTTTGATGAAATTGTATCATGATGTTTTATAGTGCTGGCCAGCATCAGGGCCTGGGATTCTCATTCTACTCATTCTGTGGGGAAAATGGGTTTAATAGCTGGCATGACCAACAAATCTAAGTAGGAAAGTGGATATCCGAATCGGATGCAGTGGTTTAAACAGTATATTTGATGTGATGAATGGATCATCTTTTAAACATCATTCTCCTTCATATGACAAAATTATTTCATGTAATAATTATGAA